AAAGCTGTAAATTTCGTACTGTTATATTCCCGAGCGAAAGAAGCCATGTGGTACATATTGATGCACCCATACCAATTTTTTGAGGCTTATGAGTGTAAAGGCGATGGTTGAGAAGGAAGCAGGGGGGGGGGAGGAGGGAGGGGAAGGAGGCCGGAGCAGTAAGACCAGCAACACATCATTCTCTCTTGCACCCTTCGTATTACAATGTACTTATTCGCTCTAATTTTCTCGAAAAAGGACCCCTAAGCACCACCCACTTTTGACTATCGAATAATGTGCGTTCGTAACAAAAGATTTTGGATGAGAAAAAAATAGAAGGGACTAAACTGGGAAGTCAATCAAAACAAAAGGAAATTCCGTGACACCTAATAACTGTTTGCCTTGAAAGCATCTAGAGCGCGTTCATACTTCGCCATCGCGCGATTGGATTGCTCGATTGGATCGCTGGCTCAGATGGAGCGATCCGATCGCGATCGCGAAGTATTAACGCGCTCTTACAGAACATCTTGCGCACCACAATACTTACTATTTTAGTAGTAAGATTATTCGACACTGAAACGGGCGATTGAAATCAAACAGCATAAGAACCAACATTCAATCAACAATAACTATCGTTCTCGCAAGAATATCGTAGATGGCTCGATTATTATTGAATGCAAATGCCACTGTACTAAACGGTACCAGCGAGTTTATGAGAATGTTTTTCAACATCGATCGCAAAATCGCCCTGGAAGGAGACCGAGTCAGAGCTCTGTTATCTACCAGCCATCTACACTGTGACTGGAGAAAAAAAAATTTGGAAAAATTGAGCAAAAGAACACTAGAAAACTTAGCGCTAGGTGAGGAACATTTGATATGTCTGCGTGTTGAAAAAAAAGAAAAGGGGCATAAAAATATAAGAATGACCCCTGATCTTTCTTGAAAGACCCCTTTATTTAGTGACATAGGTAAATACTTGGTTAATCTGCTATCTCCAAAGATCCATCTGAAACCAATAAAGCATGCGGATACCCTTTTTCAGATGAAGGGGAGTAGTAGGGAGAAGTTATGGTTGGGTATTAGTTCATCAGTAGCGCGTCGATGCGCGTTATCGTGATGTAAACTCCTTATCCCTGAGACAGAGTGGGCGTGGCATTTGAACATGGCACAGAATGGGCTACTCGTGGGATATTTCAGTTTGAGACAACTACCATCTTGTTCAGAGCTGGACACAGACATGACCACATTTAAGTCGTAATGAAAATCTTTCTCAAAAGAACAGCCACCGCCACGCTTCGTTGAAGTACGCAACCACGCCTACCCATATCAAGGATTTCGAGTTTATGAACACCTCGTAAGGTGGGATGCATAACAGGAGTAAAGCGCAGTTGAAAAACTGTCCAAAATGTGTTTTTCAAAAAATATGCTGCTTCCATGGTGATATACTGCACGCAAATAGTACGGGTCACCAGCATCTACATTAACGGTTAGCTGGAACCACATTACTTCATCCATGGCAGTTCGATGAATTTAACATCTGTGACTACAGATCAAATTAGTGAGCTAAATTTGTAACACAGGGTGAATATCATAAAATAAAAAGAAAGGGAGGGGGGAGGAACTAATAATGCTTTCTCTGTTCGTCTGCGCCCTCCTGCAGAAACTTTGCCCACCCAGTAATCGCTTCCCCCACGGCTTCAGGCTCAGACAGGAAAAGCGAGCAGACGGAGTACGGCTTAGTTTCGTCGCAGGGGCCTCCTCAACTATATTAGCGCCAGAAAAATTGAATAAAATCAGCCCTCTCAATCGACTGTTCAGATAAACTTACGCTTTAAATGGAATCGACAGCACTCCGGTAACCCGTACAACATTTGGTGGTGCTCCTGCTACATGAGATACACTTCCGCATTCAATGACTCGAACTCGCATAATGTACTTGCCAGGTGTTTGTCCGAAAAAACGAGGAAACAGCGACTGTGACAAGCACAGGGCCTAAATATGGAAGGAGTAATCTTGCAAACTCATACTCGTACTCTTCCCATAGAAGAACCACTTGTTTACTGAGCGTAGCCCTTCAATATACATGGTCCTCACAAATAACAGTGTTAGTAATGGACTTTTGTCAAAAATTTGTTACTAGTCGAGATACCTATTGTAAGAGTATACGACTCTCATGTTTCACAGTACTTCAAAGGAACTCCACAAGGCTGCAGATGCAGTGTCCAACATCGCGGAGGAACTCACCGGAGGAACAGGGGGTCGTATTCAGGAATTTTCTCAGTTGCGAAGAATGTTCTTACGATTTTAACTGCATCACAGAAGCACAATATAACCACTTATTCTGACAGTTGACCGAAGAAAAGCTCACTCCCCCTCGACGCCAGTTTGTTTCAGAGAAATTAATAAAATTGTTAGCAAACCCATAGGAAGTTGGAAAAACTCGGTAAGGTGGCAGAAAAGTTGTGAGAAGGTGGTCGTACCCATGTCAGTGTTGTACCCCGTCTGACTGAGATGCTGAGTCTGATCATTGTCCTTCAGTTGGGGGCCTAGGGTATGTGACAAGAGAATCGTAATTCGCCGCGTGGGTGTCGCGTGCGGCGTCGCGCCCGCCAATGGCGACGATTCTAGGTCGTATTGGTCGAGAATAGACAACGCATGACCGAAAACAGCCATGAAATATCTACGATATCCCAATATACATGAAATCCGATGCTATAAACGGAAGATTAAGAAAACGTCGCGCCCATCGCCGCGTGCGACAATGCGGCAGATTACGATTCTCTTGTCCATCTCCTGGGGCCTACCCCTAGTGCCATGCACGTGACACCATTTCTAGCGTTTTTTCCCCACAATTCGGATGTGCTAAACTAGACCCGAATTTTTTTTTGGATGATCGCGAACCAGAAGCGCGATGACTTTCAAGGAAAGGGTTAGCGTCAGAACAGGAAAAACCGCCAACATGAAATTGAAGTCTTACACCATCTCGTACAGATAGTGCTCCGAACCTTATCCGGAACAAAGAACACAAGCAAATAAGCAATTTTAAACGAGTAAAAGGCACACCTCTAGCAAACTGCACGCTAACTTCCCGAGTAGTTCCAATGGAAACAGCTCTTGGGTAACATCCACAAGTGTTTGAAGGTCAGCCTCATTGCCCAGAAGTTTGTCGAATCGGCAAAAATATAAAGGATGAAGCAACTGAAGCTTAACAAAACGAATGAGGTGTAAAAATATAAAGGATGAACAAGTGAACTTACACAAAATCCATTTCTACAAGATAATAGACCAGCAAAAGTTTGATGAAAAAGGCAAACACAAAATCAATCACTTCGGCCATGAAGCGGCGTAAATACGAAGCCACTCTAGAAATAATACAGTGCATGATGATTACGGTAGAAAAATTGCAAAAAAAAGAACTAAAATATATAAGCTTACTGGAACTGAGCAGCAAGTAGATCCGGTCCATTCGGATTGTGGATGACAGTCACTTCACGTGCACTTGCTGGGATTGGACGAAGAAAATTCCGTGGTCTTCTCTCGTCAATGTTCGGCTCATTCTGATCCGCACCAGCATATCGCTAAAGTAAATTGTAAAGTTACGACGTCTGCTACCAACGTTAGATCATACACGCCTTCATTTTAAATTATTTACTTACAAGATTATTTAATATTTCCTCTTATTCCTAATGGTACTAGGCTCGTTTAATCGCTATATATCCATTTTTTTCCAAATCTTGACCAGTCATGACAGCAGCTCACAGGGCGCTTGGAAAGTGATAACAAGGCTTACAGTGGAGGTGTTCCAAGGTTGTCCGGTATACACATGTATAGCGCTCACAGGTTGTATAACATTCGGAACGCGTAGTGCAGCGTTAAACAGCAGTTATCATAACAAAAGAGCTCACAGGTTGACTTTCCCGTAGTTACTAGCTCCGACATTTGTAACCATACCACCAAAATGGCGAAGGGCAAAATGGTGAAGGTGGAGTGGTGGCAAAAGGCACGCTTACCACGCTTACAGTCCGAGGATAAAATCCTGGATCAGCTCCCGCTCAGGCCAACCGAAGCCTTCTACCCTCCGGGACGGTAAATTGGTACCAGATTCGTCTGGGAGGATAAAACACTGACTTGTACATCGGCTGGCCCCCGCAAGTCATTGTATAGGCCACATCGCATTCAATAAGCCACTACGATTCTGAATGGAAGTAGAATGCGTGCCGCATCCCACAAAGGGATTGATCAACGGCGAAGACTTTATCCTTTATACTTAATCGCTAAAATGGGATGGCTCAAACCCGCAAGTTATCCCTAAAAGATACGGCAGAAAAATAGTTTGCAATAAAAAGATGACGATCACAGAAAGCTGAGAAAAAATTACATAGAACTGCTTGCCGAAAACAAAACAGAAATCAGGATAATCGTCGAAACTGAATTAATCACTTCAGCTCTATATCCTGACACCTTACTTTATCAAGGATCTCATAAAACGCTGAGAAAAAAAACTCTGTGAAGCTCTACGACACAATCTAAATGAGAAAGTCATGGGCCAATTCTCTTCTATGAATCTCTCATTTTCGCTAAATGAGCCTTTCCCTAAGTCTTATGACCGCGGCGCACGGCAAAAGCCCAATGTGGCGGAACTGTCTGATTGGGAGACTTGTTAGGCACCCGAAATCCACAACTGTTCGTGAAAAAAATGCTGAAGAGAAGAAAAAAAATAATCAAAACTTACAACGCCTTGACGTCTCTGAACAGTCGTACCGGTAGGGGAGTATGCCTGCCAAGCTCGCATACGATCCTGGTATGCCATAACAACCATGTTGTACTGATGAAAAGCTTGCCAGCAGGTGACCTCACTCATCTGTAATCACAGAGTGAGACAAGGTACAGGCCAAGAATCCTGGCCAACCCTTTGCAGGCCGCTTGCAACATCATGCAGGACCCTCGATTCCGGGAAAGAAATTGTTTCTTTCTGTTTCTTAGACATTTCTCCATGTTCTAAAGTTGATAAAATATA